ATATCTTTCTGATATTACCTTGTCAGCATTGGGTGAGAGTAGTTATTTCACAGTAACTTTAATAGCACTAAGTATATCATAACTATTTATAGTCTTTGGGCCAATTTATTGGGCTATCAAAGATTTTTATTTACATTTCTCTGACAGCTAGAGGTTGAACTTTTAATTTTTTCATGTTTATTGACCTCTTGTGTCTTTCGCCCATTTTTTATGGGATGTTAACATTTTCCTTAATTATTTATAGGTGCTCTTATTTGTACATTAAAAAATGATCACCTTTGTCTGTAAATAGTGGTATATGAAAAGCTCCCATAAGCCAGGCCTGTTGGCATCCACCTGTAGTCCCAGCTACTTGGGAGGATGAAGTGGGAGGATCACTTCAGCCCAGGAGTTGGAGGCTGCAGTGAGCAATGATCACACCTGTGAATAGCCACTGCACTCCAACCTGGGCAACATAGTGAGACTCTGTTTCTTAAAAACAAACAAACAAACAACAAAAAAACTCCCATAAAGTTTTATACATGCAGTAATTGTAACCACTTTAAAAATGCTTACACTGATGGTGACTTAAAGTGGAATTAGAGCAATGGACCTACTTAAAATGAAATGTTCCTCGAAGCTCCATCTCTGTCCCTCTCTGACACTCTTTGTTCCCCTACTCCCGCCACCTCTACCGCTCAAATCCCCAACTCCTGGCTGAAGATGAAAGGCTGTGTGAGATCATAGTTTGCTGGATGCTGGGAGATAAGTGGAACATCCTGAGTCTCAGACTAAGAGCTGTGGGTTTCTCCATCAATCCATGTGCTGTCTGCTCCAGGAGCAGAGTTGCTGGGAAGGGGCTCAATATTGCCAGTTTGGGTAAATATATATAGGAGACAGGAAAGAGGTGGGGAGCAGTGTGGGAGGAAGTTTCTTAGTTTCCCAAGAGTGAATCTGATTTGCTCTCAGGTTGGATTGGGACTCTGTCAGGAAAGTGCCCCATATACCTGATTTCCTTCATCCCATGCCAATTCTGTTAAAGCTGCAGGTGTGTATGTGCCCACGTGTCTGGGCACAGCATTCTGCCTATGCCATTGGTCAGTTTTCTCTGCCATTGTGACTCCATCTGGACCCTTGCTTAACAGAATTGAATGAGTCTTAGCATTTATTCAACCTGAATGGTGGATGTGAATAGAAGTCACAGACAAACCCTTAGTTAGGACCTTTTTAGTAAGTAATTCTAACCTACTTTCTGCCAGACCCTTTCCAGGGATTAATGAACTGTAATATGATTAAAGGGAGCAGAAATAAGAAAAAGCTGGAGAAGCAATGGGCAGGACAAGGTCACAAATCATATATTTTGGTTTATAACAATTGGAAGCCCAGCATTCTTGTTTGAGAAAACAAACATCTAAACTGTGAATTGCTTGGAAGCAGTTATCTACTTTAGCATTCTTCCTGGTCCACAGTATAGGGGCTAAGCAAAAAGCAGACATTTAGCCCTCTCTTTTAAATTCAGAGTTACGAACGCAAGATGATTTACACTCAAAGAGGGTTCCTCCGTCAATATTAAAATGTTACACACTTTGTTCTCACCTTTAAACTCATTTGAAGAATAGGAATTGGAAAAGAACTGTCTGATTTTGAGCTTAACCACAGCCTGAACTCAGGGTCTATTGTCACATCTGGACTGTTAAATCTACAAAATAAAAAGTTTATAAATATTTTAATGTGAAAAATTTAAACACCAACATGTTCTTAGAGTTATAGCATTTCAATGTTTGAAGTGACTTTATAAATCATTTTAATACCAAAGATCTTATTATATTACCATAAGAGCCTTTGTGTTGCACATGAATCTGCACAGGACCCAACAATCCCCATCTGTAATAAGTAGCTTTCCTGCCCATGAGTACAAAAAGCAATATATACTCCTTGCAAAAAACTTGGAAAAAATTACAAATTAAGAACAATATGAAGAGTT